TGTGTGTGTGTGTGTGTGTGTGTTTGTATTAAAAGGCCTTCTGAACGTTACTGGCCCCAAAGACATCTCTTATCAGGCCAAACGCTGGGAACTCAGCACCAGGTCTGCCTCTACTGTCACGCTGCTTCTCAATATTACATGAGACAGCCTTCAGCCTTTACACACACACACACACACACACACACACACACACACACACACACACACACAAAGCCGCCCAGTCAGGCTTAAGCTGATGTGGCCCACAGCGGCCCAACGCCCTCACCACAGTACATGCACACACACACACGCACACACGCACACACGCACACACGCACACACGCACACACGCACACACGCACACACACACACACGCACACACACACACACACACACACACACGCTTAAGAGATTTCTGCAGCTGCACCCAACAGGAAACATGCGCCTGTACCATTGGGGTCTTCTGCAGAAAACACACACATCAGTTTCTCACCATCAAACACTCAACTTCAAGCGTTCACTCTGTCTTGAGTGCATTTTAAACTGCACGGAAATGACCCTTTAATCTCGACAAACGTAACAAAAATGCTTCTTTTTCCTCTAAACACACACACACACATTTCAAGTTTCAAATGAATAGTTCACTCAAAATGGCACGTCCATCATTATTTAACCAACATCATGTTGTTGCAGCACATATGCTGTCATCTGGTTACTATTCATCCATAGTTTATAGTAGGCATGGGCCGGTATAAGAGTCTGACGATATGATAACCATGTATAAAAATATCACGGTTTCACAATATTGTGATGACTGCTCTAAAGTATATATATTTAATCTTACACATACAAATATATAAATAATCTTACACATACCTTAGAAACGGTATTACAGAAAATGTTGGCGGTTTTAAAACCTTGTCTTTTCCAAATAACGGTATACCTTGAAAACGATTATCGTCCCATGCCTAGTTTATAGTGACAAGTCGTTGAATCTGTTGAGTCCATATTTGAATGATCTGAAACACTCTTCTGCTAAGGCTATTTGATAATGTTTGATAAGCTTTTATGTGATTAACAGATTCACATTTTGGTTGTTAAATGATCATCTGCCAATGATGAATAACCAAATATTTAGTTGGTTAGTTAAACTCAAGAATGGAAATAGTCAAGTAATCTGAAATACTTTTTTTCAGCCCTGCTCCTGGCAAGGTCACGTTCCAGTTTTGTAAGTAAAAGACAGAAATTTAGGTTATTCAATAGAAATGTTCGCTTCAAGCGAGCTGAACTTAAGAGAAGCAAAGAAACTAAATAATTTTTTATGTTTTTTTTTTTGCAACAGCTACCCTGAACTACCCTGATCTAGTTACTATGACCATTTATGTGAAGCTGCTTTGACACAATCTACATTGTAAAAGTGCTATACAAATAAAGCTGAATTGAACTGAATTGAATTGAACAGCTGACTTCATAGTGACAAGTGCATAAATCAGAGTTGATGAGTATCAAAACAAAACAACAAAAAGTTGATGCGGGATTCTTTTGCTGAGGATTTATGATTAACTTTACTCATCTTTATTTACTGATAATTGTGCTATTTAGTTAAACTCAAGAAGCATTACAATTATCTGAGAAACACGTCCACTCTTCTGTAATTAACTCAAAAACCCAAATTACCAGATAACTGAGTTAGTTATGCCGAGTTCAGACTGCATGATTTTAGCCCCGATTTTGACTCGCCAACAGGTTTTGAGAAATCACAAAAAAATGCCCAAAATCAAAGGCAAATCGGTGCTCGTTGACATAAGTAACAATCATACAGTGTGAACTATCAAAGACATGATGTGAGAGAATCGCTGATGAGTCTCCGACACCCGTTAGATATTCGGCATGCTTAATAGCTGTCTATGATTCAAATCATGCCGTGTGAAATGTGTTCTGACTGAAAATAACATTGATGATTACCTACAGCAAATGAGAGAGCTGCATCCATAGTGTGTGTATCTACAGGCCAGCAGGAGATTGGGGGAGAAGCTAAAAGAGCTTCTTTTCGCTCTATTTGGACCCAAGAAATCACCCGTATCTGTTTAACGTGTCATCTGAACCGGGTCGAAAAAGAAAAAAAGTTGAGGAGAAATTGCTAATTCTCTTCAAAAGTCAGGTGAGCAAAAAAAGAGCATTTTCTACCGCACTAAAAGTTTCTTTGTCATTATGTAGTTAATAACTAAGGATATACTACGTGACCGTGTGTTGTTTCCATGTCACTTTTAGCGTATGTTTGTTTGGTTGTGTGATGTAGTTTGCGGGCCGTGACAAAGTTGTCAGCGATTCTTCATATTGTAAAGTCATGCCCTGTTATTAATCCATCTTGCAGTATAAACACAGCAGTGATGACCCCAGATAGTCATGTAGTGTGAAAACATCCAAGACGCGATCACTTTAAAAATCGGGCAGTCTGAATTCGGCATTAGTTAAACTCAACACACAGACCAGTCTATTTTGACAACAAATAATTTGTTTGAGTGCTTTCTTTGTAATGAACCACTTGATGCTACTCATTATAGGCTAAAAAATGCTTGAAGATAAAAAAAATAACAGTACACAGGTGTGAAATAGCCATGAGGAAGTTTTAACAAAATATTATTTTATTTTGAGTGAACAATCCATTTATTTCAAGAAATATTCCAGTAACTTCCACTGCCGCCGTTCCTGCCATGTTAACATTACGAGCCCCAGAACAACAACATGCCACACACAAACACACAAACACACACAGTCGCCATCTTGTGTTGGACGGTTTGGACGCCGGATGGGCACCGTGTGTGTGTTTGTGTGTAAGCCACTTTTTCCTCTCTGGCCAAAGGCAGGAGGTGGTAGAGGGTGCAGCTGTCCCTACCTCTCCTGTCCCACCATCGTCCAGGCAGCTCGCCAGCAGCGTATAGAGACCCACAGGCCTCTGAAACCACCCTTCATGCTCTCTAGACGGGCACACACACACTCTTTTACTCCCACACATGCATCATCTCCTTATGGGTGTGTGTTCAGCTATGCAAAATAGCTGTTTTTAACATTCCATTAGACTGTAAATTTAGCGTTTAGCCTTAACACGTAACAACATAGAAGAAATAAAAGCTTTAAACCTTTACATTAGATCGTAATGTTAGCGTTTAGCCTTGACACAGCAGCGAAGAAGAAATAAAGCTTTCTAACTCTACATTAGATCATAATGCTAGCATTTAGGCATAACATGCAACAATGCAGAATAAAAGCTTTACAACTTTACATTAGATCATAATGTTAGCTTTTAGCCTTAACACGCAACATCGCAAAAAAAATAAAAGCTTTATAACTTTATATTAGATCGTAGTGTTAGCGTTTAGCCTCAACACACAACAATGCAGAAGAAATAAAAGCTTTATAATGTTACATTAGATCGTCATGTTAGTTTAGCCCTAAAACACAACAGCGCAGAAGAAATAAAAGGTTAATAACGTTACATTAGATCATAATGTTAGCATTTAACCTTAACATGCAACAATGCAGAAGAAATAAGAGCTTTATAACGTTACATTAGATCGTAATGTTAGCATTTAGCCTTAATACGACAGCGAAGAAGAAATAAAGTTTTACAACTTTACATTAGATCAAAATGTTAGCGCTTAGCCTTAACAGACAACAGCGCAAAATAAATAAAAGCTTTACAACTTTACATTAGCTCGTAATGTTAGAGTTTAACCTTAACACGCAACAGTATGAATGAAACAAGTGTTTTAGAACATTACATTAGTCCGTAAACAATGTAAGTGTTAGCCTTAACCCACGACACAGCACCAAGGGAGGGGAAAAAAGATAACACTGGCTGACTACTACTTATAGGGGCCAATGGTCTTGTCAAACTGTTATGTCTATTGTGTTTACATGGCTTTCCATCTCATCTTACTCTTAAAATGTGTCGTTTATGGTTGCCGTCTTACGTTTATCCTTAACTCTGTTGCTTTCTCTGTGATTTGTTGATTCCTGGACTTCTCGCCATCAAACAACCACGCTTCTGTTTACTAGTCCATGAAGTGAACCCTTATATGGATTTTTTTTTTTTTTAAACGAAACATCATTAACTACAATTTCATTCTTTTGTAATCGATTAAATGATTCAGCCCTAGTCACATCGCAGGACTGGCCATGTTGAGGTTGTAATATAATTAATCATTGGCATGTATTTTTGAGACCTGTGACTGTGGATTTTAAAAGCTTTCAGTCATATGAAACTGTACATTTAGTAATTTTAATAACGAATCATTTTATTGAATTACTTTTATTTTCAAAATTCAATTACTGCACCTGAATACTCTAAGACTTGAGAATGATAAAAGGCTGTTTATTTCAATTGTAACTTTTCTTTATTGTATTTATCTATGCTTTTAATTTGTTTATTATATTTTATGCATTTATATTATATTTTAATTCTTCATTCATTAGTCACCTGGTAAAATTGTACTCAACTGTACTCAAATTGTACTGGTGAAATTGTACAACTTTTAGGTCAAATTAGCATGGTCTACTTCCATAGTAAGTGTTCGCTATGTAATGAAACAACGCATTTAGATTTAATTACAGTTTTAGACAAAGGTCAAAATAAATGAGGAAGAAACATTGTGAAAAAATAATAAATAAAGCTATCGCAATTACAGACATTCCAATTTGGACAAGTTTTTTCTCGGTGGATTTGAGAGTTAGCCGGAAAACAGTGGGTAATTTGTTCTGTGATTTTAACAAGGTTTCTGTAAGGGAAAAACACACAAATTTACCTGGCCTCCTCCTCAGGGAAAACTAGTTCCGACCAAATGGGGATATTGACTGAACTACTGCAACCAAATTAACACTGTTCACCAGACAGGAAAGAAGGAATGGAAGAAGAGAAGGAGCAAACAAATAAAGGATGAGCGAGACCAAAAGACAAACAAAACAATTTCCTGGCACCTGGAAGAGGAAGGGTTGATGGCGAGTTTGTATGTCTGCATTACCTCAATGATGTCTGCGTTGGTCCTGCTTTCGTGTGGCTCGTTGTACTCTGTGTATTTGAGGAGCACTTTGTCCATGTCAGTGCTGGCATACTGGAAGAGCTTGTTTGAGTGATTGAAAATAATGAGGGCAATCTCGCAGTCACACAACACACTGAGCTCGTAGGCTTTCTTCATCAGACCAAACTTCCGTTTAGTGAAGGTCACCTGTGGAGAAAAAGAGAGAAAATTCAACAGAGAGAAGACAGAGAGAAAAAGAAGATAAAGGATAACTAAATACTTCTTATGCGGTTTTGTTTCTCAGGTAAACCTATTAAACTTCAAGGACGTTTAGAAAAAAGAATGATTGTTCAAATATGTCTAATTAACATAAATGAAGATGTCAAAATTCTAAATTACATAAAAGAAACATTTATAGCCTGTGGTAGAATTAAGGATTTATTTTTAGGTGACACTGGAAATCGACACTGTGGCTCAGTGGTCAGCACTGTCACCTCAAAGCAAGAAGGTTGCTGATTTGAGTCCCAGCGTGGCCAGTTGGCATTTCTGTGTGGAGTTGGCATGTTCTGAGAGCAAGAGAAAGAGAGATACAGCGAAAAGAGAAGAGGAGAGGCTGTGTGCGTACATATGCGTCTGTTCATGTGGGCTTCCTCCGGGTGCTCTGTTTTCCACCACAGTCCAAAGACATACACTATGAGTCGATAAACTAAATTGGCCTAGTGTGTAAGGGCCCTATTATAGACCCGGCGCAATGTGGCGCAAGGCGCGACACAATTGTTGTTTGCTAGTTTCAGCTTGGCGCAAGAGTCGTTTTGATGTTTTGCGCCACGCTGTTTAAATAGCAAATGCATTTGCGCTCATATGTGCACCCATTGGCATTCTGGCCTAAAAAGGGAGGCGTGATAAGGTATATTGCTGGCGCATTGCTATTTTGAGAAACTATTAGATATAGATTTTTCAGTTGACCAGAACAAAGCCGGTCTATTGTGCTTAATACACGCAGTAAGCAATACGCAAATATCTTTACATATGAAAAATAATTAAAATATTAAGGATATATATAATATATTATAAGAATATATACAGGATAAAAATATAAGGATTAAAATATTACAAAACATATTATTTTCTAGCCTACATAAATATAAAACCACTGCCTTCATGCCTTCATCTCGGGGTCTTTTTCAGTTTATTCATAACAATTTGCTTTTGTATAATGTTATTATTATTAGCAGTATTATTTATTATATGCATATTTATATTTGTTTTATTAAAAACAAGCTTAGATTTGTACACCTGTCAGGTTTTAGACCATATGGGGCACAGCATGTGTTTTAGGATATAACCCAGGTTTTTGAGCACTTCATTACTTCATAATAACTACACAAAAATACTTCACAATAATAACTTCATTATTATTGTCTATTTATTAATTTGCTGGAAATTAGAACTGAATTTAGAATTAGTTTTGAAACGAATATTTGCGCTTAACAAACAAAATAAATTATTTATAGGCTAATTGATGTCTGTGCGTACAAGGTTTCCCTATCCACGATAGCGAATGTGAAAGTAGATAATGAGAAGGCTTGTCTCTCATTCTCGCTCTGCAGATGCTGTTTAACTGTTTTCTTGTTAGTGAAGTGCTCAGTTTTTCCACTTACAAAGTCGACATGTGAATAGCAAATGCACCTTGGCGCGACCCAACTGACTCTTAAAGGAAATGGGAAATGAGACTCTGATTGGTTTATTCTCAAAACACACCTATAACTCATTAAGAAAATAAGCTCAACTCTTTTAGACTATGCGCAAAGCTGATTTTTCCATCCTTATATTGGCAAAAGTGGATTCTGACAAGCCTCTAATGCGTTTGTGCCCTGCGCTTTGCACTTTTCCCATGGGTGTTTCCCAGTCCTGAGTTGCAGCTGGAAGGGTACCTGCTGCGTAAAACATATGCTGGAATAGTTGCTGGTTCATTTCGCTTTGGTGATCCTTGATAAATAAGGGACTAAAGCTTGAGTGATTCGAGTGATTGCAGTGACCCACAGCACACACCTTGCACGTTGCCGTGCGCTCATAGGTCTGCATGCTGTTTGTGTTGCTCTGCAATAACACTTCTAAAACGCTAGCTGGCAGTGAGGTTTTTATGTTTGAGTTTCTTTGCTGGTGTTTTGTTTTTTCTCAACATTCCTTAATGTACAAGTGGCTCAAACTTGCTCATTTTAAGGCTGGAACCGGCGGATTACCTTATGATTAACAACTTTAATAATAAGGTAAACACAAAACAAAACTTTCCATCTGGAGCTTCTTTACACGACTCGACACTTGTAAACACTCCGATGGGTTCGCGTGGCTCTTGGTCACGTCCAAACTCATCAGCGCTACCAAGCTGACCAATCACAGAGCTTTCGCTATGCGTCATTATGACATGCAGTTACATATTTGAGTGGTGCGTGTTAGAGACGCCCACGGTGAGGGCTATGCGACCACGTGAAGGCTGCATCGGAGCATAAGCATGAAAAACACTACTGATTAAATATTTTTTCCTAACATTTCACACTTCACAAGATATGAGCTGCTATGTCTGGGATAGGTTCCAATTCATTTCAGCAGGTAAACTTTTTTAACCAAATAATCTATTCAAGTAATTGTGCAACTCAGGAAGACTAAATACGTAATGACTACTTGATAGTTTTTCTGTCAAAGAGGTGTAGAAATGATTCAGGAGTGTAAAATAAAAGTCACCAAGTCAGTAATTTAAACAAAAGAATCAGTCTGATAATGTGAGATTCTTCTGCTGAGGTCTGTATAATAAATTAAAAATACTTAGAAAGTAAAAATGTTACTGACCGATAATTGAGTCTTTCAGTGAGTTAAAGTCGAGAAGCAAACTAATTGATATAATTATCTATATAATAAATGAATATAATTATCTAAGATGCTTTTCTGTTGAGGTTAAACATTTTTATGTGAGTAAAAAGCATGTTGAAGTTGTTAATCACTGTCAATAATCTCTTATAATTAGTTTTTTTAATATCTTTTTATTGTTTTTAGCAAAAGAAAATAAACAATAACATGAACAGACAGAAAAAAAGTACAAAGGTCATTTCACAATACGCTGACAGTAGGACACAACATCATACAATGTCATCCAGAAAGCATAAGAGAAAAAGCATTTAATTAAATATAAAAAAGAAATAATTTATAGAGAATTGTGTAGGCTTCAAAACTCGACATTTGCCAAATCAATCTCACCTATAATGAGTTACAAGTCAGCATCATCGATAGAAAACATAATTGGTTTCCAGATTATAAAAAAAATAATCGCATATCACATTTGTTTGCATCACATATAGCATTTCTTCCATTGGCAATACATAACTTCTAATTTTGTTAAATTATTTTTTTCCTAATATAAAGCACAAATATACTGCCTGTGATTTATTTTTATTTCCTATTTCTGAGGTGTCTCCAATAATGCCCAATTTTGGCTCTGGGGACAGATTAATCCCATATACTTCAAATAAACAACTAAAAACGTTCTGCCAAAATGAACTAATTTTATGGCATGACCAGAATGAGTGAGTCAATCTATACGATAAGTCAATAAGCTTTTTAAACTCGAAAATTGAAGTAATCAAATGATGTCAATCAGATAGTTAAACTCAAGAAACAAACCAGTCTAATTTGACTAGAAATGATTCTAGACCCCCAAAAAATCTTACTTTCAATAATACAAAACAACCATCACACATTTAAATATTGTTAAACATACAGGAAGAAAGGTTGACATTCAAAAATGAAGAGGTAAATATTAAAAATTCTGCTTCTCGGGTAAATATGCTTATTTAAAAGAGGCTGGAAAACATCTAAAGACAAAGTCAAATACTCATATTGACCACTGTTATGGTACGTCTATTGGGCTTTTGTGTGGTTTTCACAGCTTTTAAGCTCCAGACCTCAGAAAGCAATGAAAAGACCAAGCAAACTCTTAGAAAAACACTCTTTTGCATTCAACGAAAGAAAATCATCCAGGTTTGAACCACATGAGGGTGAATAAATAGACAGAACTTTTTAAAAATCTCTGGCCAACTAGTCCTATAAGACTTTATGCAGTTGACTTGAGATCAGCCAATCCTTCTCTCTCAAAAAAACCCTGATGTGCAAAGTTCTACCACTTTCTGCAACCAAAAGTGTCGACTCAAAAACAAAAAGTTACTTTTTCTGTTCAAACCTTAAGAGCTTGACAGCGTTAGCAGACAGTGATTGCACCTCAGTATATAAAAGCCCCTTTCTATTAGGTGAAAGAATCTTCTCCACCTCAACAATCAGTGAGCTGATGTTCTCTCTCTCTTCACCACCAGCACCAGGACAAACACCAGCAGCATAATTGCTGTCGAAAATAGAAAAGTCGCAGGTAACCAATGGCAACAGGAGGACACAACTTTATCATTGTGAGGAATGTTGAGAGGCAGCGACCCGACTTTTTTCCGCTCCTCTCTCGATCCAATTAACCTCAAGGCCGAATGCTTACCTACTGACCTTTACTGCACACACGGGCTCAAACTCGCACTCTCACCTGCTGCCGTCTGTCAGTTCTGGAAACCTCTGAACTTCTACATTGTTCCTATAGACTCGCCTCAGCCATGGAGTTTGGTAATTAAAAGGCAGATTTCAATGCTGCAAAGACAGTAGTTCACGTCCTCTTCTCACACTCTTTAATTCTTTAATTGCTCAAATGCGTGTTACATCTCAGGAAGGTCATTAGGTGTGAGATGTGCAAAGCCAGATAATCTTCAGAAAGAAATCTCAATTAAAAGTGATATTTAGTACAAAAATGAGGCCTAATCTGGGTCAGACAAACTACAAGTCTTCTTTTTTTTTGTGGTAACTTTGTTAAAATGTGATTAGTCAGGCACACCTGAGGGAGACAGAGAGCGCTGACACAGCGAAGCACAAGAAGGTTGAGTTTGCACACCTGCTCCGGTCAGAGTCCCTCCACCTCTCAGCACAACTGTGACCACAAAACCATTTGCCACACATTCACGACCATCTTGAACACGGAGGGCAAGATTATGCACCGGGGAGGAGAAAGTCATCCCAACACAGCAAACCATTTAAATAAGTTTGTAGTATATTTTTTTATTATGACAGATTTATCTATAGGAACACAAGGAGCAGAGACAGCAGAAGTAGAACTATATGTAAAT